TATTCATTAAGACTAAATGCTGCTGCACATGGTACTCCTAGATGTACCAGGCTCTAACAGTTACATTCGGTAAGACTAGTTTTCACACATGCTTCTCTCTTCTCACGTACATCACTAACTGCATCCACACTGTGCTACTTACACCCACTGGGAGCAGCTCTGTGATGTCATCACAAGGCTGTCCCAGAGTCCCAAAGTCCTCACACAACAGTTGCCAAATAAACTTACCAAAACCTGGGCATCTCAAACCAAAATGGAAAGAGACAGGGCAAAAAGAAACAAAAGCCAAAAACGAAAGATCAATTCATTTGTCTCTCCCTAAACAGAAGGCTACCAAACAATTGACTGCATTCATCTCTGCTGTGTCCAAGAACGTGTCCCTGGCCTCCGTGAATATTTCACAGACCAGTGCAGAGTCCAAAAAACATTTTTTTGTACATCACTGCTTGCAGTCAACTGTGAGGATAAAACCAGGACAACAGGTTTTCTGGTATGTACGGGAGGAAATACAAGCTAAAATGGCCCAGGTCCCAACGAGCCAGAGTTCATAGGGATTCCTTTACTGGTGCCCCACATGAAACGACCCCATGAGCCACACAGACAATGTAGAGCAAAGGTTCAAACTAAGACTTTCCAGAATTCACTGGGAAAACATATCCAAAACTAGCCTTGGACTTCACGCAAGAGAATCGTGGCAAAATAGATGAGAAGTCATATTGTACAATTTCCCAGACAATAAACTGCTGCCTCCAATACTGAAAAATATACAAGAGTTTGCAATCCCAGCTGAAATTAACACCAAACAGGTTGGATGTCAGTGAAATTTGGCTTGCTAGACTGACTTTCTTTAAATATGGAGATCAGCTACTGATCGCATTCACAAGAGTCTGCCAGTGTATGTTTAACATTTACTAGACAAGAAAAACAAACTAATGCACTCGATAAAAGTTGAAAGATTTCATTACAGGCATCAGAAAAGAATTCAATTTCACGATTCCATTTATTCCAGCAACAGAGCTCCAGTGAAGAGTCATTACTACCTCCACACCAAGGTTTCTTGCTCAGGTGGGCCAGCCGCACCCAGTTTCCTTCTGCCAAACTTCTGTGCATTCCCTAGTTGATTTTCTTCAGTTGGTACCTCTCCCCAAAACAAACAAAATTCACTACTACTTGAATGTCAGAGCAAACTCAAGCTCACACTGACTGAGGACTTCTAGACTTTAGTCTCAGTCTCTCCGTGGAGCCAGTCACCAAGAAACAGCACAGTTTTGTCACATTTACTTTTTCTTTTAAAATGCACTAATTGTTTACCCCCGTGTGGTAACGGCTGGCATTACAAAACGTCATTATAAAAACAGGTAAACAAAAAGGTTTCCAGAATCCACAGCACCAAGCCCACAATATGAACTTTAAGAAACAGGCCTATAACCATGTCCCCTACCTTCTTAGCAGGCAAAAAGTAAAGCACAAATTGAGCCTAAAAATGATGCATTGTTCCAAACAGAGGCCTGCCTCACATCCTTCCAAACTCTAATTTTCTAGAACAGCTACAGATAAGACTAGAGGTCCAACAACAGAAACACATGTCCTAAGCCAACTCACAACAGGGAACAGACAGAGAGAGTGAAGGACAAGAGCCCATTTGACTGAAAAAGTAGTCAAAATGAAAAGGACAACCTGTAGATTCACAGCGTACAAGAGCAAATTACTGCAGATGCTGGGATCTGTACTGAAAACAACAAACGCTGGAGATCACAGCGGGTCAGACAGCATCCATGCAGAGAGAGCAAGCTAACGTTTCAATTCTAGATGACTCTTCATCAGAGCTCTGGTGAAGACTCATCTAGACTCAAAACGTTAGTTTGCTCTCTCTCCATGCATGCTGTCTGACCTGCTGTGATCTCTAGCACTTCTTGTTTCCAATGTAGGTTTACAGAGACACCACACATTCCGACATCTCCTTTGCATGACGGATCAATCTCACACTGTCCCATGCACTACAGAGTCATTTGCTCCAGTTAAGGCTCACCACTGTAACACAAGGTGACATGTACCAAAAAGGAAACAGTTGACCAAAATGGGTTCAATACCAAAGGCCACAGTCAACATCTTCAGGAGCTTTAATAAAATGCCACTTGAGGGATGTTTCAACAGTTGACTGAGTATTATCCCCTGTACTATATCCTCCACAGCAGCTTTTGATTTAGCACTTTACAGCATGCAATAGAGGTAATTTTAAAATATTCCTGTGGAGAAACTTGGGAAGTAATGTTAGAAGTTAACAGAGAAATGCAATCAGTAGTTGTTGCACATTGGCAGATATTTCACCACCTTACAGCCAAGAACTAGATCCAGCAACAATGACAGCCTACAAAACATGCAGGATTTTAAAAACACCTACAGCTCTTGGGACACCAGGACCATTTGACACCCATCCTTGGCTGCCCTTAAGGTGATGATGGTAAGCCACCTCCTTAAACTGCTGCAGTTAGCGTGGTGTAGGTACACCCACAAGAGTTTTCTCCTTTAGTAGTTTAATGCAATTTCAGAGGCCAGTTAAGAGTCAACTACAGAGCTACAGGT